GACATTATGTGGTGTATGACTGTACTAAATTTACAAATATGGTAAGCTTGAAGTTTTCTTATATATTCTAATATATATAAATTTAACAAGATTTCAATTTAAAGCCAAGGCCAGACTTTCCAAAATATTGCAATTACATAAAATGTCAAATATGTACAGGCTTCTTTTTAACATAAAATATGACTGCTGTGCTTTTAATTTCCTAAATTGTTAATTACGTGTCTTTATGGAGCTAAAAGATGTACCGCATCTTAAGGAACATAGTTACTATATTACATAGGATACAGGCTAAGCTGTATAAAAATGGGACCCAGAGCTACAGGGGCTCAAACAAGCTAGAAGTTAAATTTCTCTCTCTGGGCAGTGGTTTTGCTTTGGAAGTCCATCCAGGGACCCATTTTTTTCCTCATTTTCTTCCTTGGTTCTTTCTCCCATCTTCCCTACTCTATCCTAGGTAGTGGTTCTCTCTTGCTAGAGTCTGGCTCCCCTGCTACTCCACCACCGTCAGCTTCATCCACATTCTAGCCTTCAGAATGGGGGAAGAGAGAAGGTTGGAAGACAACCAGTTTCCTCTTTAAAACTGTAATCTATCTGGGCGTGGTGGCTCCTGCCTGTGGTCCCAGCTACTTAAGAGGCTGGGGTGGGAGGATCACTAGAGACCAGAAGTTTGAGGTTGCTGTGAGCTTTGATTGCCACTGTACTAGAGTAAAACCTCGTCTCTAAAAAATTAATCAATTAAAAAAATACATTTGTGATCCAGAAATTTCACATGGTGACTTCTGCTCCCGTTCCATTGTCCAGAACTTAGTCACATAGCTCCCTTGGTCACTGAGGTGTAGGGTGGGCTGAGAAATGCATTCCCTAGCTGGAGGGTATGCTGAGAAATGCATTCCCTAGCTGGAGGGTACGCTGAGAAATGCATTCCCTAGCTGGAGGGTACGCTGAGAAATGCATTCCCTAGCTGGAGGGTACGCTGAGAAATGCATTCCGCTGAGAAATGCATTCCCTAGCTGGAGGGTACGCTGAGAAATGCATTCCCTAGCTGGACAGTCATGGATTCAGCAGAAACTGGGAGTTCTGTTCCTGTAAGGGAGAAAGAAAGGCTAGATTTTGGGGGATAATTAGCATCTCTGCCACAGCTATCTCAGTACTGACTTTCCAAGGAAGGTTTAATTAAGACCTTGCTGAATGGTAGTTACTTAGTTCTTTTTTTTTTTCTTTTTTCTTTTTCTTTTAGATGGAGTCTCTCTCTGTTGCCAGGCTGGGGAGCAGTGGCGCGATCTTGGCTCACTGCAACCTCTGACTTCCTGGTTCAAGCCAGTCTCCTGCCTCAGCCTCCCGAGTAGCTGGAATTACAGGCACACGCCACCATGACCAGCTAATTTTTGTATTTTTAGTAGAGACGGAGTTTACCCATGTTGGTCAGGATGGTCTTGCTCTCCTGACCTCATGATCTGCCCACCTCGGCCTCCCAAAGTGCTGGGATTACAGGCGTGAGCCACCGTGCCCGGCTGTGGTTACTTAATTCTTAATTTTCTAGGGTAGAAGAATGCCTTCCCAATGAGGAGGACTGCCACAGTCCAGTTAGCTAATTTCACTTGTGATCAGAGACATCAGTGGGTCTTGCAACCAGGAGCTAGAGACGTCCGGAGCCATTCATGTTGACCACTCTGGCTATTACCCTGAGCTCCATTTTATAAATTAGGATTCAAAACTTAAAAAGGGATTGATCTCATAGCTCACTGTCTTCTAACCAAGTCAACAGTTCCCCTTAGGGTTGATTGCTTGATGGGATTTTGCATTTTGGGGGGGCTCTTATGAATCTGTGCATGTATGTTTCACCTAACTTCACAGCCCCATTTGAATTTTACAGGGACCTAAGATATTAAATAGAAAAATATATTTTGTAAGAAAGACATTTGAATTTGATGGGATCTTATATTTTTTCACATTTTTAAGACTGTACAACTCTTAAAGATATTTAAAATATCTTTTTTAATTTTGGATATTTCAAATGGCTTTGATCTGTGGTCATTCTATAGATTCCTAACAACGGATAAATGGATCTTAAAATTCAGTTTTAAAAAATGTAGCATTCACATATTCATATTTTCACTTATTCATTCATGAACATATTTATTGAACATCTATGTTTCACTTATTTTGCTTGATGCAGTAATACCAAGAAGCGATGGCAGATTCAGCTCAGTTTTCAGTATTTTCTGCACTTACGTTAGCAATCACATTTAGTAAGAATTGTTGACCCAAAGAACTTAATACAATTCTTTCTTCCCACAGGAAATTTGCTTATGTTCCTTGTACTCGATCAAGGCATTCATTGAAGGTTTATTGATTGCCTGTTATATGCCAGATTGTGTGGTAGGTAGGGCTGGAGGCATAAGTCACATGGAGAGGAAAGATTCATTCAGAGATGACATTCCCTGTTTGTAAGGAGCTCACAGTGTGGGGGAGCAGAGAGCTAAGTAAATGAACAATTAAAGGTCACCATGTTAAGTACTATAGAAGGCATGGATAGGGATTATCGGGGGAGCTACCTAGATTGGATGAGGTCAGGAAGGACTTTCCAGGGCAGGTGATGTCTGAGGTTTAAGGTGAAAATAGGAATCAGGTGAAAGGAGGAAAGGACTTCCCAGGTAGAACAGCATGTACAGATGTACAGAAAGCATTTGCACCTGGCCACTGCACACACAGGTCAGTACATTTGGAGTCTGCATTCACCTGAGTCGGGGAATGGCCCTAGATAAGACCGGAGGGGAAAGCAGGGGGTGGAATGTTGTGTGGGAAATTACCTTGATGTGGTGGTCGCTTCCAAGAACATGGCCAAGCAGGCTATTCCAGCAGTTACAGAATAGAGAGGCTCATAGGCTGAGTTAAGATGCTTGAATCACGTTGTTTATTACATCAATTCAAAACATGCAGCAAGAAACAGGGGGAGAGATCTGGGATCAGTTAACACTTAGGATCAGGTGCCTATGGAATGGAAGGAGCACAGTCTGAATCCTGGGCCATGTGATGTTCATACGTGGAGTCCTGTCTCCCTCTGCTGCATCAGCCTTCCCTGCCAATGGTGTCAGTACAAGGACTAGAGCTGAAGTTACACAAGGGCCCAGAAGGTGGAAGGTGCCTGTAGCCAGCACACAGTTGCTTTGTTAGAGAGACTTGGATATATACGTCTGCAATAGCTGTGGCTTACCAGAGACCTGCTGAGATGCTGTGTGTGTTTTTTAATCTGTGTTTCTAGACAGTATATAAATGGGGTCAAAATGGGTGACCAAATTAAGGATGACATAACTGTCAAGTGGCATAGTTTGTGTCTTACTGATATTTAAGATTTGATAAGATTGGCCCTGGTCAGCCTGGGCAGCACAGCAAGATGCTGTCTCCACAAGAAATTAAAAAAAAAGAAGTAGCCAGGCATGATAACGTATGCCTTTGATCCCATCTACTTGGGAGGCTGAGGTGAGAGGATTGCTTGAGCCCAGGAGGTTGAGACTGCAGTGAGCCCTGATTGCACTATTGAACTCTAGGCTGGATGACACAGCTGTAAGACCCTGTCTCTCTCTAAAAAAAAAAAAAAAAAAGATTGGTTCTCCCGTGACTTTCTGCCTAGGACTAACACTCTTTGGTTTTGTCCTTTTTATCTATGTTCAACACATGTATGTTCCACTTATTTTGTCTATTTTGAGCGTGTCTTACAAGCTTTTGACTCACTATGAGTTTCATCCATGCTATTTGTTTTTCTTGTTTTCTATGTAGCAGAATTGAATATACTCACAAATTGGATGGCAAATGGACGTAATACACAAATCGAACAAGGCTTATATGTGTTAACCAGGAATTTGGACTTGATCCCAAGGACAGTAGGCTAAAACCAGTTTTTTTTAATTTTTATTTGTTAAAGCAGAATGATCAGATTTGTGCTTTAGGAAGGTCACAATTCAGACAGATTGCAGAAGGGATGGGAGGGGAGCAAACCTGGAACAGATTGTAGGCCAATGTGGGAAAAGATAATGGGCTTGATGAGTGCTGGGAGTAGGAACACTGAGATAGAGACAGATGTCCATATTGGTTAGGAGGTGATGGCCTGTGGTTGGCTGGTGGGTCACTTGTGGAGGTGGGGAATGTAGCAGGAAGGACTTAGAGGGCTGTTGTCAGGAATACAGTTTCACACATTGCATTAATCAGATTGCTGGAGTAACAGATAAGCTTAGAATCCCAGCGGCTTCTAACCATGAATCCTAGTTTCTTGGGTATGTTACTCGTATGCTCAGCAGGTTCGCTGTTGCTGTTTCCAACTGTGACTCTGTTTTGAGCTCTCTGCTCTCTACATCTCTCTTGTGCAGGGTCTTGGGCCAAAGGAGCATGCTCATTTAGGGACATGTCATTCTCATGCAGAAGGGGAAGACTAATTGCTGGCAGAAACTTGTTGCAGTACATTGAAGATAGCTGCAAATTCTTTCCTCCTATTGAGAGGTGGAGTCACTTCCCCCTCCCTTGAATCTGAACTGACCTCAGTTATTTGTGTGTCCATTGGGATATGATGGAAGTGACATTCTGAGAATTCTCAGGCTAGGTCATAAGAAACCTTGGAGCCTCCATCTGGGCCCTTGGAACATGCCATCTGGGAGTCCAGCTCCCATACTGTGAGGAAGCTCAAGCTGCCCTGTGGCGAGATCCACATGAAGGAGAAGGACATGTGGCTCTTTATGGACAGCCCTGGTGGAGCTTCCAGCTGACAGGCAGCTCCAGCTCAGAGACAGAGGCATCTTGAAAGTGGGTCATCCAGCCCTGGTTGAGTCACTCTACCTGATGCCACATGGAGCAGAGTTAAGCTGTTCCTGCCCAGTCCTGTCCAAATTGAGATTCGTGAGCAAAATAAATGATTAGTTTTAAGCCACTGAATTTTGCGGTGGTTTGTTACACATCAGTGGATAACTAAACCACTTGGGATACCTCTTAAAACTCCTCTTCTTCCTCAGCTTACATCAGTGGAATGGAGGGATGAGGTGGGAGGTAACTGTGGATGTAAATGCAGCACACCTTAGCGGGCCTCGGCAGTGTATCGGACATCTACAGAACACAATAATAACACTCTTCTGTGTGGCAGCAAGGGTATTTATTCTCATAATATTTGTATTATTTTCTCTCTTATTCAGAATATTTAAACAGTGACACCCGCCTTTTCCCTGAGCATCTGGTCAGTCATGGTTTCGCAATTCCTCTTTTCAGCTCCACCTGGGTCAGTTGACCATTTCAGCTCCTGCTTGCTGTGACTTTGTGATAACTCCTACACTGTTACTTGATTTTCCATTACCCTTCTCTTAAAAGTGCCATAGGGTGTATTGTCTTTTTTTATTTTGAGACAGGGTCTTATTCTGTCATCCGGGCTGGAGTGCAGTGGCATGATCAAGGCTCACTGCAGCCTTTACTTCCTGGGCTCAATCCATCCTCCCACCTAAGCCTCCCAAGTAGCTGGGAATACAGGTGCGTGCCACCACACCCAGCTAGTCTTTTGTTTTTAGTAGAGATGGGGTTTTGCCTTGTTGCCCAGGCTGGTCTTGAACTCCTGAGCTTAAGTGATCCTTCCTGCCATGGCCTCCCAAAGTGCTGGGATTACAGGCATTAGCCACCACATCTGGCCTGTCTTTTTGCATAATATCAAGTGAAAGTCAATTTTGTAGCTCTCCTTTATCCTCTCTGTTTCCAAACACAAAAGACAGCAAGGATAGCCAGAAGTTAAAAATAACCTCTTCCCTTTAGTCTTGTATTTTCATTTTTCTTTTTTTTTTTTTTTTTTTTTTTTTTTTTTTTTTTGAGACGGAGTCTCGCTCTGTCACCCAGGCTGGAACGCAGTGGTGCGGGGTCTCGGCTCACCACAACCTCCACCTCCGGGATTCAGGTGATTCTCCTGCCTCAGCCTCCCGAGTAGCTGGGACTACAGACGTGCGCCACCATGCCCGGCTAATTTTTGTATTTTTAGTAGAGACAGGGTTTCACCATGCCAGCCAGGCTGGTTTCAGACTCCTGACCTTGTGATCCACCCATCTTGGCCTCCCAAAGTGCTGGGATTATGGGTGTGAGCCACTGCGCCCAGCCCTGTATTTTCAAATTCTCTTCCTCTGCATGTCCAACCCTTCTCCATCCAATTTGTTACTAGAACTTTTTAACAATTTCACATTGAATTAAGATGATTTGGAAGAGGAGAAACAAGAGTCAGAAAAATTAGCAGCATCCGTGATCTGACTCTGCGTACCAGTGGGTTGTTGAGATTTCTGTTCCCCACTGGCTGCAGAGCTGCTGCCTGCCAATGCCCCCTGTTGGGCAGGGCCACCTGTGCTAGTTTAACCTGGGGTCTGTCACTCCCAGGCTGCTTCATGGATGTGAGTTTTTTTTGTTTTTTTTTGAGATGGAGTCTTGCTCTATTGCCCACTCCAGAGTGCTGGAGTGCTGTGGCGCAATCTCGGTTTTGCAAGCTCCACCTCCCGGGTTCACGCCATTCTCCAGCCTCAGCCTCCTGAGTAGCGCGCCTAGCTAATTTTTTGTGTTTTTTAGTAGAGACGGGGTTTCACTGTGTTAGCCAGGATGGTCTGGATCACCTGACCTTGTGATCCACCTGTCTAGGCCTCCCAGAGTGCTGGGATTACAGGCGTGAGCCATCGCGCCCAGCCTGGATGTGAGTTTTAAATTGAGCAGTGAAGATATGCCTTGCGTGCTGCCATACGTTGTAACATCAAGTCAAGAGCTTTAGTTACTTAACAGATTTCTGCTGGCTGCTATTATAAGAGCAAACTCCTTTGTTTATGGACAGCCAGGGCTTCCTTAGCTTTGATCTTTGGGAGTAAGCCTTTTGCTTGACTTCCCTTTTCTTTTCCATGCCTTTGTTTCCATCTCAAAGTGCAAATTTGAAGTGTCCTGTTTGCCTTCATTCACTGAAAGGCAAACACCCTGGGCGACGTATCAGTGACAGTGCGGCTCTGCTTTGATCGGAGCACCCAGCGCTGCTTGAAGGCGTTTGCATGGTCCGTGGCTCATGGACCCTGCTCCTAGAAAAAGGAAATGCACTTAGTTGAGGAAACAGTTGGCAGAGTGGAGAAACTTGATCCGGGATGTGTGGATGTATTGTTCTTTGGCCTCTTCCGGTCCTTCCTCTTCTTTTGTTTATCTCTTGCCTCATTCCTCCTTAGAGGCGTGTGGGAATTTCATTATTGGCTCCTTTTACATTGCCAGTGCCTGCTACCGCAGGGGACTAAATCAATGTTTTTACAGCTAAATTCCGGGTTGAGTCTCCATTGGCTGAGCGGTTCTCCTCCTCCTCTGATTGCTCTGAGGACAATGATGCCTTTAGTTTCCTACGGGAGGTTGCCCTGTTCTTTTCCATGTTTCCCATGCACCCTCATCCCAAAAGTCTGCCCTGCCGCGGTGTTAGTTTATCTTCTCATCTTCCTGAACTGACATCCTTTCCCCCATTCCCAAAGCTGAAATCAACGGACTCTCTGTCCTGAATCAAAGATGTCATTTCTGAAATGTAGAATTCTGCTGAAATGCTGGGTGGGCCTGACCCGCCAGGTGAATTCTGTTTCCCTTGGCTGTGTGTCCGGGAGGAGGAGGTGGGAGAAGTAGGTAGTAAAGTGGAGGGAAAGCTACAAGTAGAGCTAAATGAACATTCTGGAGTTTCTCTTTGTCCAAATATTCTACACAGGTTAGTGAGTTGGCCATAAAGGCCTGCGTTTATTATTTTTCCCTCCAAGGCCATGTTTCTCAAGTTGGTTTTTTTTTCATGATTGTTTTTCCAAGGAGAATAATTAGATTCAGGTTCACTGTAAGAAGAGAAATGAGCTACTAAGGAATAAGATTTTGTTGTGGGGGGCCGGACACAGTGGCTCACACCTATAATCCCAGCACTTTGGGAGGTTGAGGCAGGAGGATCGCTTGAGCTCAGGAGTTCGAGACCAGCCTGGGCAACGTAGCGAGATCCCGTCTCTACAAAAATTACAAAAATTAGCTGGTCATAGTGGTGCATGCCTCTCGTCCCAGCTACTCCGTGGGCTGAGGTGGGAGGATTGCTGGAGCCCAGGAAGTCGAGGCTGCAATGAGTCATGATTGCACCACTCCAGCCTGGGTGATAAAGTGAGACCCTGTCTCAAAAAAAAAAAAAAAAAAAAAAAAGGTTGTGGTGTAGGGTTGAGCCTTGGAGGGCCACAAACTGTTGTAGTGTCTTAAGATTTTTTCCACCTCCCCACTCCCTGCCAAGATCGATTTTTGCCCACTAGGGATGATGTGGTTTCTCATGAGGTTACTTGCTCTAAAGGACTCTATATTTTGGAACCATAAGAGCGCCCCTTGTGGCCCAGGCACTTAGTGCTCCCAGTAACCTTCCAAGGTAGGTGCTCTTATCTCTACCTTACAGACAGGACATTGAAGCATGGGGAATTTGAGTAGCTTGCTGAGGTCACACGCCCTTAACCGGAGGAGCCGGGATTGAAGTTTGGGAAGTTGGACTCTAGAATCCATTTACTGACTAGGCTGTGCTGGAAGAGTGTAGAGACAAACAAACTGCCTGGACGCTTTTCTTTTTGTTTTAAAAAAATTGAGATGTAATTCACATATCATGAAATTCACCCTTGAAAAACAATTCAGTAGTTTTTAGTATGTTTACAAAGTTGTGCAATCATCAGCATTATCTAATTCCAGAACATTTTCAGCACACCAGAAAGAAACCACGCACCTGTCAGCATTCACTGTCTGCTCCCCAACACCTCAGCTCCTGGCAACCGTGAATCTACTTTCTGACTCTAGATTTGCCTATTTTAGATACTTCATGTAAATAGGCTCATAGAATATGTGACCTTTCGTTGTTGGCTTCTTTCACTTAATGTATTCAAGATTCATCCGTGTTGTAACATGTATCAGTAGTTCATTCCTTTTTTATGGTTGAATAATAGTCCGTTGTATGGATATACACATTTTATATATCCATTCATCTATTGATGGACATTTGGGTTGTTTCTACCTTTTGGCTATTGTGAATAATGCTGCTGTGAACATTTACATACAAGCTTTTTGTGTGGGCATATTTTTTTTCCTGAATGATGAAAAATGGCCATGAAAGTATTTTTTAGTTGTATATATTTATGGGGTACAACATATGATGTGGTTTTTTCTTTGAGACAAAAAAACCTCACAAAACCTGTAGTCACCATGACGTACAGTAGATCTTCAAAACTTATTCATTGAAGGATTTTAAGCAGAGGACTAGTGCAACATTTTTTTTTTTTTTTTAGATGGAGTCTAGCTCTGTCGCCCAGGCTGGAGTACAGTGGTGTGATCTCGGTTTACTGCAAGCTCCAGCTCCTGGGTTCATGCCATTCTCCTGCCTCAGCCTTCTGAGTAGTTGGGATTACAGGCGCCTGTCACCACACCTGGCTAATTTTTTGTATTTTTAGTAGAGATGTGGTTTCACCGTTAACCAGGATGGTCTCGATCTCCTGACCTTGTGATCCATCCACCTCGGCCTCCCAAAGTGCTGGGATTACAGGCGAGAGCCACCGTGCCAGGCCAAGGAATAGTGCAACATTTTTAAAGGAATAATGACATTACCCTGGTGACTATGTGAAGAACGCCTTGGGGAGAGCCAAAATGAATGAAGGGAGCTTGACGAGGTCATTAAAGTATGATGATGGAGGGAGGTGACCAAAAAACAGGATGTGAAAACATAAGCCAACTCTCCACTTCTTGATGCTGACTAAATCTTATTAGCTGAACAGATGGAACAGCAACAACGATTAAAAAACCAAAACCAAAATCAAAACAAAGAAGCAGGAAAAAAAAGAAAGAAACTGTCCTTACTAGTTTTGTTGTATATTAATTTTTAGTTGAGGTATAATTTATATAAAATAAAATGCACAGATTTTAGATGCACAGTTGTATGTGTTTTGATGAATTTATACATCTAGGTAACTGCCTGGGTAATTAACACATGAAACATTACCATCACCCCAATACATTTATCTTGCACCTCTTTCTATTCAATTCTTTCTACTTGGGCCACTCATCTTTTTGACATGGTAAATTAGTTTCTCCTGTTCTAGGAATTCATAGAAATGGAATTATAC